TGCGTCTGTGCGTGTACTCCGGCCGCCTGCGCAGGTCGCGTCAGTTGTTTTCTAGTGTTTCTCTGGGAAGGTCGTCTTGTCGTTCACACCGTATTGTCACACCAATCTTTAATTAACCCTAGAAAATGGTGCCACCAGTTTCTACTAAAAAATGCTTGAAGAATTTATCGAAATTTATAGAATTCATCATGTCTTTGGGAAATCAAAAACAAAGATTAACATAATCGAGATAAAAAAAGCGCTTGAGATGAAATAATTGATGAGAATTTTAAATCCTCATAACTTCTTCCAGTTGCGAGAAATCTCAACGTAACTGATAATCTTTCATGTGCAGAAATACTATTTCTCATAACTGTGTCTTTCTTTTTTTATCATAGGAGTAACCATTTCAAGTAATTTAGTGTATGTTCTCGTCCATCCAGAGATAGTTTTTAAAATCTTCTGGTTCAAATTTGAATTCATTTAATTTAACACGACTGTATGTTTTCCTTTTCAACAACCAATGCTTGCACCACTTTTTTCGCTTATTTTTCACTGTTTTTTTACTTTTGTCTTCAAAATTAAACAAGGCCTAACAATGCCAACGCGTCATCGTCTCAATCGATGTCATCGTTAAAGCGTTGTTAAAGGAACTGAAGACCGCACCGGTACACCGGAGAGTCCTCATACACGCTACTACTGTTTTGTTGACCTGTACAGGCATACCTGCACAGGCACAGGTAGACCTCTCCGGTAGACCGTAGTGTGTATGGCGTGCTTAGGGGTGAACATTTCTCACAGGCTAGGTTTAATTAAATTGCTTGCTTTTGCTTGCTTGCAGATGAAGACGAGATATCGGGATATGTGCACATCTTCAGTTTAAACGTGGACCGTGCTTCCCGTCTCGACACGCAGACGCCGGTTTTCTACCCACCCATGGGCTTGATGCTATTTTTAACCTGCCAAGTAACACATTTAAAAAAATAGTAAGTGATTTCTTTGTAAAACATTGAATGAGTTGCGCCAAGTATTTTTGCTATTTTCAATCAATGCCTTATTTTATCCACAATCACATATTGCATTTTTTAGTTTATTCTAATTATTAAACCAGCGATATAAGTACGTTTTACATAAACAGTATCTTTCTTTCAAATATGTATATGCGGTTTACAGATTTTTGAGTCAATATCGAAGTTTCATATCCATAGCTTACTGTCGGTCGGATTCGGTCTTGTAGATTCGAATCTTAGTCCTTTGATGTACGTTCCGTGATTTATTTTCAACTTATATTTCTCAGATATATATCGGAAAATAGAAGATCTAAATACAAATACCATACGAAGAGCCATGTTGCATAATACGTATAAAACAAATTTTTTAAAACTATTGTGGTGGCCGTTCTTGAAATAATGCAAGTATTGGTCATACATTGTACAGCTTACTACATAAACATATTACATACATAGACAATATTGCTACAGCTCATTATATAAATCAATAAACAACTTACCTGGTAATGTTATATTTTGGACGGATGCTAATGACCCAGATATATTATTAACTAAAAATGCTACTACTGCTGGAAAAATTTGGTATCTTACATTCTGAATAACCACTTGAGGATTTCTAAAGACTGTGTAACAAATTGTTGAAATTGGTGGAACAATCGATCTGGCTACTAAGTCTATAAAAATCCATAATTATGCTAAAACAAATTATTTACATTATTATTTTGGATCATATCAATGAATTGGGGGACAAGGAAGGAGCCTCCACGAGATCAATAGTGCCACATTAACTGCAAAGTAAACACTATTGACGGCGTCCCCTGGAAACGTCTGCTAGTAGACGGCTAATCCTTCCAACACCGGACCAAACTAAATCCGATGGCAAAGATCAAGCCACAACGATTCTTCTCAGAGCCAACACTGACAGTAGCGAGCATAAATATCGAGGGCATCACTACAGCCAAACAACACATCTTATCAGAATTCTGCAAGAACACGAAATGTGAGGTATTGTGCATCCAGGAAACCCACAGAGACCTAACTGCAGCGAGACCGAAAGTCTCTGGTATGAAACTGATTGCGGAGATACCACACAATAAGCATGGGAGCGCGGTATTTGTGAGAACTCAAACCATGGTCTCATCTGTGGAAACAACAAATGTACATGGTATAGAGATAATAACCACTGAGATCGGAAAATGCACAATAACCTCGGTAATACAAGCCCCCAAACCAGCCTTTTATATTTTCACCCCAACTAATTTTCAATTACAAGCCAATCAGCTTATACTGGGAGACTTTAACAGTCACAGTTTACTCTGGGGCTATGCAGATTCGGACGCAAATGGAGACGCAGTAGAAGCATGGGCCGAAACGAGTGACCTCACGTTAATCCATGATCCTAAACTTCCACCATCTTTTTATAGAAAAGTTTTGAAAAGAGGATATAACCCGGATATGTTTTTCAAGCAACACCCTCGAAGACCGATGTACCAAAGTAGTATATGGCCCCATACCAAAAACTCACCATAGACCAATTGGTATAAATATCTTCTCAATTGTCAGACCAGAAGCTATTCCATTCAGAAGGAGATTTAACTTCAAAAGGGCAAACTTGGAAAAGTATGCAGACATGCTAGATTTTGAACTACTATGCCTTGAACCAAAAGTAGAGAACTACGAAAAATTCGTAGAGGTAGTCAAAAATGTGTCTAGAAAAACTATCCCTAGAGGATGTAGACAACAATATATTCCCGGGATGTCCAGCGAGTCCAAGAACTATAAAAACATACGAAACCCTCTATTCCACTGACCCTTTTAGCCATGAAACGGTTGACTGCGGAGCAGTACTACTCCAACAGCTAAGTCAAGCCAGACAGGAAAAGTGGATTGAGACCCTGGAAAAAAATGGACATGACACATAGTAGCAAATAGCATGGAACCTTGCAAGGTTACAGCAAACCAAGTCGCTACTCAACTTCTTACGAATGGAAGAACTATTAACCGATATAAGGACCCAAACACTAGGAGAAGATTGGATTTGGAGACAAACCACCTAGGAACTCCTTTTACACTAAAAGAACTCCACGACTGGTCTGAACAGGTTAAAGAATCGGGAAAGCTGCATGTGTGGATGATATATGCAGTGAACAAATAAAGCATTTAGGCCAAGGAGCAAAAAACTGGATCTTGCAATTTTATAACACGTGCTGCAAAACCTGCAAAATTCCAAAATCATGGAGGAAATCTAAAGTAATAGCCTTGTTAAAACCAGGAAAGGATCCAGAAGACCCCAGTAGCTACAGACCTATTTCACTATTGTGTCACTTTTTTAAACTATACGAGAGACTCATACTCGCCAGAATAGAAAAGTTCAAGTCCTCGCATTAACAGAACACATTGAAGAGGGACATTTGAAGAAAAACTTATAACAGGGGCTGCTTTTGTAGATCTGACAGCAGTCTATAACACAGTAAGGCACAAAACATTACTCCGTAAATTATACGACACTCTCAATGACCACCATATGGGAAAGGTCGTATATTCCTTACTGCAAAATAGACGTTTTTTTCGTTATGCTGGAGGGTAAAGTAAGTAAAAAAACGGCCACCCACAGGAAGTGTTTTAGCACCAATGCTCTTCAATATATACACAAACGACCAACCTACTCCGACCGAAACCAAGCACTTCCTCTATGCTGACGATCTTGCAATATGTGCTCAAGGAAATAATTTTGAAGAAGTGGAGGAGAAACTCGTAACTGCCTTAAAAACAATGACAGCGTACTACCTGCAGAATTCTCTGAGACCCAATCCCTCTAAAACCCAAGTCCGCGTTCCACTTCGCACAAAGGAGCCAAGCGAAACTCCAATTGTGGAATGGTAATGCATTAGAACACACAAATCAACCTATATATCTTGGAGTAACTCTGGACCAGTCCTTCACCTACAGACAACATTGCATAAAAACAAGAGGAAAGTAACAACTAGGAACAGCCTACTCAGAAAGCTAACGGGAAGTAAATGGGGCGCACGTCCTGGCGTTTTAAGAACAACGGCACAGGCACTGTGTTTCTCAACTGCTGAATATGCGTGTCCCGTTGTGGAGCAGATCTGCCCACACCAAATAAGTTGATACTGCGTGTGAATGAGACATGCAGGATAGTAACGGGGTGCATGAAACCAACGCCACTTTCAAATCTATATAGAGCAGCGGGTTTTGCAGAACCCTCAACACGCAGAGGCGCTGCAGAACACATAGAGAAAATTAAACAGATCGCGGACGATCGGTATGCCCTATACAAAGCTCGAACACCACGAAAGCGACTAAAATCTAGGAAAATCTTCCTTGGAACAGTACAGGATGAACCGCCTGAGTATTTTCCACTTCCCCAGGTTCAATGGACCGGCTAGACCCTAGACTTTAAAACGTGGAAAACCTTGAATAGGATAAGAACGGGGGTTGCTACAGTAAAATCAAACATGGCAAAATGGGGAAAAATAGACTAAGATGATGTGAACATGTGACTGTGGAGAAACACAGAATATGGAACATCTTCTTACATGCAGAAACTGTCCTCATCGATGTACCCTTGAAGATTTGTGGCTCGCCAACAAAGATGGAACCGACGTAGCCCGATACTGGGCCGAAATTTTATGAATGACATGTCCGGACACGATAAAGTAAAAGTAAGTATATCAATGAATTTCACAAGGGTACCTTTGGGATGGGTTATCGGTCAACTGGAGTGCCCAAGAAAACAAAGACTACTTTATCCTTTTAATGGATAAGAAGAACATCGAAAGAATTACCAGAGTATAAGGCTATCAACAATAAAGTTAAAAAGAACATAAGGTCAGACTTGAGAGCCTATCAAACAAAACAAATATTGCAAACCATCGATAACAATAGAAATATGAGAGTATTGAAATCAAATTTAACTAAAGGAAAATCAAAGATGACTAAAATCAAAAACCAACAGGAGAATACTTCTTATTAAGGTGCCTTCTTCCATTACTGAAGGTTCGCTATAACTACAGCAAATTGCTCTCTATCTTGGTATGTTCTTAGTATCGAATGAGTGTCCATGCCTGTCCAGTCTCTTACATTCTTCAACCAGAAGCATTTTCTTCTTCCTGAACCTCTTCTTCCTTCCACTTTTTCTTGCATTATAAGTCGTAGGAAGTTGTATTTTTCTCGCTCTGTAAATACTAAAGAAAACCAAATAGCCGAAATAAAAAGACGCATACAATTGTCTTGGGTAGCTTTCGAAAAGTTAAGCTTTATCTTGAAGAATACAGATATATCAATATGTCTAAAACGTAGAGTTTAAGTACGGCAAATGTATCTTGTCCTATTACTACATATGGACTGGAGACAACGGCCTTTACAAAAAAAAACCTTAGAGCAGCTCAGTACAACCCAAAGAGCGATGGAGAGGGCCATTCTAGGGATTAGTTTGAGAGACAGGATTCGAAATATCGGCATTCGGGAAAGAACAAAGATTATTGATGTCGTAGAACGTATAGCTAGGCTCAAGTAACAATGGGTCGGACATGTTGCTCGAGATAATCCCGAAAAATGGAAACAGAGATTAACAAACTGGAGACCAAGAGAGAACAGGTGAGGAGTAGGCAGTAGCAGATGATATCAAACAAGTCACGGGCAAGCAGTGGATGAGAATTGCCAAAAGTAGAAATCAATGTCCAATATGTCCAGCAGTGGACGAATACAGGCTGAAGAATAAATAAAGAATATATAAACTTACCTTGCAGGAATAACTGGATATGGTGCTTTACTATCAAACTGAACATTAACTTCAGGATGTAAAATACTTTGATCGCACATTATATCTTCTACCTCCATGTTATTTTATTCCTGAAAATAAAGTTCGTATTGTAGTAACTATGCAAAATATTTACGTAGAAAAAAAAATAACACAGTATGTACAAAATGTATTGTTTAGTTATAGAACTCGATAATTATTTAAAGATAAGCGAAACGATAATGGCAAAGTGGGTAATTACTTTCAATATTGATTACTTTTTTAAACCAATTACAATAATAAAAATATCATTAAACCGTTTTATCGTTAATCAACCAAAATTTTAATTTTTTTTCAATATATACTCCAAAAACCGCAAAAGCCGACGACTAATAAGAAACGTAAATATTTTCCCCCTATCTCATCATCTTCAAAGTTACTGTTGGCTAGTAAAAATCACCTGTAGTTCAATCGTAATAGCATTTGACCTTCCATGGCAAGCTGCCTCAAATCTTATTATTCTAACCTTTAGGGAATCAACCGTGGTGTAAAATTAAAATCGCGACTGAGTTCCACCATTGTGTCAGCCGCCATCTGATTTTAAATGAGAACCGTTTTGCCCAATATCTCAGCCATTTTTCACTTTTCGACTAAAAATGGTAACGACTAAAACTGTTGCAAATGCGATTTTTATAATTTATTTTTTACAAATCTTTTCGTGCTATTGAATTTTCCGAGTTAAGGAAAAAATAGTTAAACCAATAAATAGATAATATCAAAAAAGAACACTGGGGGGGGAAATTTACCAAAGATATGGAATACGACCTCTATGGATCCCAGAAAAAGGTTGGAAGATGATAAGGAGACAAAAAACAGAAATAAATGAATTTATACGCATAGATAACATTAGAGAGGAACAATGGACTGAGCATTTCACGAAATTATATGGAGGAGAGAAAGAAAACAAAGAAATAATCATTAACCATCCCACGATAAAGTACTAATATCAGAAGAAGAGCTACAAGAACGAATAAAAAAATTAAAATAACAGAAAAGCAGCTGGTCCTGATAAGATAAACAATGAACTGCTAAAATATGGAGGAACAACACTACGCAAATGGCTCCTAAAGTTATTCGTCGATATAATAAATACCGGAGTAGTACCAGCGGAATGGAAGGAAAGTCTCCTGCTATCGATACTTAAAAAGGGAGACTCGAGAAATCCTGAAAATTATAGGGGCATTAGTCTAATGAATTTTTTTTAACCTATTCTCTATACTTCCATTGTTGGATATAGGTCTCCCCCAGTTCTCTCCATCTTTCTCTATCTTGAGCTGTTCTCTGCCATGTGGGACCTCCTAGTTTCCTGATGTCATCTTTCCACCTCATCTGTGTTCTGCCTCTTGATCTCTTTGCATTGTATGGACGCCACTTGGACATTCATTAGACTGAGACATCCAGTCTAATGAATAGTACATTAAAATTGTTAACGGCAGTCATAAAAGATAAAATCGAGGAAAAAGCGAACATGGCAGATGAACAACAATTCGACGCAATTTTTATTATCAGACAAATAAAACAGAGAAGTTCAGTCCATTGTTATTCAATATGGTAATGAATCAGTTAATTCACGAAGTAAAAAAACGTTACGGATACCACATGGGAGCGCATAAAATCACGATACAGCAATCACTATGTCGATGATGCAGTACCAATTGCTGATAACGAAGATGACCTAGACCTAGAAATAGACGACAAAATTGTAGAACAAGTAATGAAATTCAATTACCTAGGAGTAAGATCACTAGTGACAGGGATTATAAGAACATAGACCACAAGACAAGCATCAAAAGCGGCAAGAATAAGTGGTTGCCTCCGGAAACCATATGGAGAAACAAATATCTGACCACGGAAAGCAAAATGAAAGTATGCAAGACAACAGTAAGACCAATCCTAACATATGCAGCGGTGATAAGAACCGATACAAGAAAGACGAAACAACAAATCAACAATATCGAAATGAAAGTATTAAGATCAATAGCGGGCATATCATTAAGAGACAGACAAACCAACAAAAGTATACGCGAACATCGCAAAATTCAAAATATTAACAGGTGAATAAAAGCAAGAAAAAAAACTGGAACGAACATGTAAACCGAATGGGACCAGATAGATTAGCGAATATCTGTAAAAACAACAATCCGTATAGCAGAAGACCCATTGGAAGGCCGCCAAAAAGGTGAAAAGATATTGTACATTCAACAACAACTAAAACAGAATAAGAGGCAGACAAACAGGAGTAATTTCTAGTCGCACGAAGAAGAAGAAGGAAAAAATAGTGGAAGTGGCGCGGGGAAAGCATAATTATCAAATTATATCGTTTATTATTAACTTGACGACGAATGTGCATAAGCAAAAATGAAGAGAATTATTATATTTTATATAATTTTGATCTCTTTAATGTTTTTGCTAAAATCAATATTTTGAAGTCGAAGGTTCGTTCCTGTATATGGCTGGCTGCTGATGACGTCACGTTTTAGGGTTCGTTAGGCCTAGGAATTTAAACATTGATTTTAGCAACCCCTCCTTCCAATATTTCCTCCTTAACTCGGAAAATGTTGACCGCACGAAAAAATTTGTAAAAAATAAATTGGAAATCGCATTTGCAACAATTTCAGTCGGTACCATTATTTTCGAAAAGTTGAAAATGGCGGAAATATTCGCCAACCAAGGTTAGAGATCACTTCTTTAAACGCTTCCCTATCTTTTGCAACGTGAAATATCTGTTCAACACTAAGGCTAATTTCTGATATTCCATAGCCATGGTTTCTTTTTTCTTCCCAAGCCTTTTCTCTACTCTTCCTTGCAGGATGACAAGAGAGGTACATAAGAGAGTATGGATAGTTTCGAAGTATGTGGTCCAGATACGATGTTTTTCTTATTTTAATTATGTTCATAAGCTTTCTGCACTCGTTTGTAACTTCGTATCCAAGGAATTTTTAGAATACGCCTTTATAGTCACATTTCGAATGCCCCTAATTTTTCTCAGTTGGAGGACGTCTCAGCTCGTTGCTTAAAGACCTGAGGAAATGGTTTAACCGCTTGTCCACAGAAATCTTTCGTGCAGCAGTTTCCAAAGCTACAATGGCCATTTGGATCGCCAACCTTCAAAAGGGGACTGTAAAATAAGTAAAAAATTCTTCTTAAACCTTCTCACCAGAATTGGTAAAATTCATTACAAGTTTAAGAGGCATTACTTCCTAATACGGTTTTGTTAATAGAATAAATATTACTCGATTTGAATCTTGACAATAATCTTAAGAAAAGATCAAAATATTTTTTAAATTTAAAATTTTTCAATTTATCATTTTTTACGTATTTATTTCATTTTAAAATCAAAATTTGATAATATTTCGGGGTGTCCGGACCCTCTTTGTGGACAAACAACTTTTGCTGCAACTACTGTTGCACAATTCTTGCCGTGTGGCCTGGCATTATCTTGCATAAGCATGAAATTATCCCAACTAAATGGTGCAAATGGCGCGACATGCTCTTCTAAAATGTCTATTATATACCTTAGCGATGTAAGCCGACCTCGATCTATTTCAACTAATTCCGTACGAGCCTCTAAATTAATCCCACCCCATACCATTACCGAGCCGCCGCCATACTGTACACTGTACAGTCCCTACAGTGTTACACTGTGCGTGGCGTTCCCCAGGCCTTCTATACACTCGGTTTCTCCTGTCATCAGAAAAAGACAGTACCTGGATTCATCGGTGAACAATATTCTTTCCCAATCGTCATTATTCCAATCAACATGTTCACGAGCAAAATGCAATCTTTGCCTTCTATGGTCTTTGGTCAATAATGGGCCAATTGGTGCCCTTCCAGGGTGTAGGTCGTTTTCGGCAAGTCTTCTAATCGTATTTTGGCTGATTCTAAAGTTTTAACGATTCAAAAATTCATTTTGTAGAGAAGTACTGATAACACACCTTTGTCTCAGTGTACGAAGTGTCAAAAACCGGTCTTGATTATGAGTTGTAATCCTTCTACGGCCTTGACCCTCGAGTTACTTCCAGTAACAGAAAAACGTATTAACCCTCTTGAAATGGTTGACAGGGTGACGTTAAAACGTTCAGCGAGTTCTACTTGAGTGTATCCTTCTTCGCGAAGAGTAAAGATTCTAAAACAGTCACATTCTGACAAATTTCGATTTTCTTGCTGCCGGTGGTTCCTTTCAAAGAAAAAACACTTAATAAACTTGAAAAACCCCTTTAAACGTTCAGCACAACGTAATCCAACCCAACTAAATTCGAAATAAAATGAAGCACAATCAGCATGTTTTTAATTTTTTTGCAAAAAATGGTAAAAACATCAGCGTTTTTTTGCCGTTATTTCGATAAATTTTAGAATATACCGGGGTAACAATAATATATTACCACAAAAATCGAAACATTACAAATTATTTGATTTACCAGGGTTTTTAAAATTATGCGTTAATTTTGGGGTGCAGTGTATTTAATGAAAAATATGCTACAAGAAAATAGATTCAGAACCATATTAAAATTTCAGTTCCATGTATCTCTAAAGTAATAATGATTTAAATAATTCATTATTACTTTAGTGCAAATAAGTTTCCAATTAAAAATTTAATATTTTAATTTCAAATGTAGAAAAAACAATAATTTTATTATTAATACAATTTTGTTAGATAACAATTTTTGTCGATTTGTTTTAATTGTTGTCGTTGTCTAGGTAGGTAATTTTTGGTCCTGGATAAAATATTTCTCAAACTGTGATCAATGAACGTATCAGGAATACCTGTAGGAAGAAGAAGCAGAGAGGCCGACCACGAACTTGGTGATTAGATGGAGTTGAAATTAACTTAGGGATATCAAAAATTAAAGAAAAAAAAGTGCATTACGATACCACAAGAAATTAGCTTCAGAACAATATTAAAAATCAGTTGGCAACAGGTCGCCAGGAACGTATTAGGTTTTATTTATTTCGTGAATTTTCCCAAATAACTTGATATTTACTTAGATGAATAAGCATATTGAAAGCATAACAATTTGTTTTATTTTATACAAACCATAAATGTTATAGTTCG